CGCACTGACCAGGATTTCGCACTTAGTTGCTTATGCACTATGAGCCGGCGATTGGGAGGAAATTCTGCTCCTCAGCCATCCCACTTCAGTAAGTGCTCTAGGCTTGAGCTTGTTACTGGGAAGAGAGGCGAGTAACACGAGGTATGGTAAACTCGATGTCGACTGAGCTCACATATATTCCCCGCTTCCCTGATTCCCTTCACGGATCGTGAGAATTGGAAAGTGTTAAACTTTTCAGAGTGGCGAATATGCATTGAAACGGCGAAAATTCGTTTACTTGAGGGGGGAACTTTGTCAGAAAAACACTATAAATAATTCTTCCATTCCATTGCTTTTCTTAAGAGTGTTTCTATTTTGTATTCTCGCATATTATGGCACACCTACAGTGTATTTTGATAAATAAAATAAATAATAAAGTTGTCCTTGATGAGGTTCTTTAATGACAGCAGCATTTTCAAAATGCTCAGCACATGGGGTAGCAAAAATTTAGGGTGTACCCATAATTATGAAACGCAGTGTATTAGTCATTGCTTATCACCACTGACAGGTTCTAATGGGATGAGCAGGTTAGCGGAGCCGGCAGTTAAAGCATAAGGCTGAATAGGCAGATACTTATTTGACTTCTCTCCTTTCTCTTATGCCTTTTTACACGTACTTTAGCGTGAAATACTCTTCTACCTTCTTCTGACGCCACCCTAGTCTAGCATAACATTCTGTTGAAGAAAAAGGGGTCTCGTCAATGACTGCAGTAAATTTGAGAAATTTTGGCAGTTTGCACGAGGTTCGTCGTTATTGAGAATTGATCTGTTTGCCTTCGATAGTTGTAACGGTTGTAATTTAGCCCACGCTGGTTGTTGCTGAGTGGTGCAGCCTCGCTTCCAAAGCAATATGTTCGGCATTTTCTTGTGCTCTAATCTGATTAGAATATAGTTCCAAATCATCGCATCACACAACAACCGCACAACAACATGTGGATACGAGACTGTTCCCTACGAGGAAGGTTCTGAATGATTGGCTGGTTCTTGCTGTGAATAAAAAAATCGAATGCGCGATGACTTCGCACTTCTAAACAGTGGAAGATGCTTTATTTGAGCTTACTCTATGCCTTCTTCCTCAAATTTAGCTCTCCAATGTATGTACATGATATAAATTTTTATATTTGTAACGCGGCAATAGTGGGACTTTGGGTGGAGTGGCGCTGGTGGAACTGCAAAGGTTGGTTTCCTTAAATGAATCTTGCCTCTACTTGTTACTCTTGAGTAGTAGAGTAGTACTGTGGGGCTTGACCGGGTAAATTACAAGCTAAAACTTCCAACCGACTTCAGGTCCTGAAGACGACGAGTTGTTCGAAACGTCGACCGAATAAATAGTTCCATCGTAACAACCTGTATGGCAGAAGAAAAACAAGCAATATTCTCAACATGCCCAGGTTTCAAGAAGACCGAACATGGAATCTAACCCTTTTTTGAATTACGAGCCAATGCCAACGGTTCATTCCAATGCATTCTTCTATTTTTTACTGATTTTGAAACATCTTATCCTTTCAGGTGCATCGCAACGAGGGCATCCTCCAGTACTAAGCCTAGTAAGGGACAAAAGATCGGTAAGTAAAAAATTTAGCTCTCGCAATCTGCAGACCAAGCATTAGGTTAACAGGCGGCTCCACTTAGACTTACCAGGAAGGTTTTTCAGGGCATGGAACCCTTTTTGGAAAGGGCTTCGTCAGCATCGATAAGGGGCCATGCATGGATGTTTTAAAACTAGGCTCTGTTTTTCATAGGGCGGCTCCGATACCAGGAAGAACTGAAGAAAGTAGTTATAGGCATTCAAATTTTCAAATTCGGATTTTACCCTCAACGTGGCTTATTCCTCCGCAATGTTAAGTGGACGAACAAAAGAAGGTTTCCTCCACCTGAACATCAAAAACAGCGTGGAATAAAGCCAAAACTAAAAATTGTATAAAGTAAGTGCTCAAAAAACACGAGCAAGTCTCATCAGAATCGTCGATATGCGTTTAGTACATCGGAGGTCGGACGGGCGAGTGGATAGCGTGAAGGATCCTGGTTGGCCCGGTTTCTTCGAGAGTTGTTGGTTCGGTTCCCCTCCATGCTCGAATTTTTGCATTTTTTCCGATTATCACTTTTTTGCATTTGCATGTGCTTGCGCGTGAACTTAAAGCCTATAGGTGTCATTTCCAAGAACTTTCTCCCACAATTCTGCGATATTTCGTAGTACCATGTTTTTCAGTTGTGTACGAAATTCCGTTTACAAGCAATAAATAACTAGCAGTTATGGTAAAACTCAATGAAGCATCTGAATCACGGCGCGGATCACACCAACTGCATCTAACGAAAAAGTGCAGTTGTCATTTTCTTCGCAAGGAACACCTACTCCATTTCCCTTGAAGGCAGATTGCCGGCGTTGAGGAACGTCCAGGATGCTCGTCGACGTAGCCAGTGCCCACCCAGGCATACGCCATGCATCGACGAGATCAAGGGGTGATGCCAGATTGCCCCATGGGCAGGAACTGCGGTGGAAGTGTAACTATCAACCAAACGTGCCGCTTGCTATCATCTCGAAGCTGTCTCCAAGTGGGAAGCGTGCATGCCGTACTGACTATGGGCTTGGCCCAATTTTTGAATTCGGGCCAAAATCTTGATCTTTCTGGAAAACTGCGGCTGTAAGGGTAATTATAGGCGCTGATTACGAATCTGAGGTCCATTTTTTGAACCTAGGAGCGATATTGCACCGTTTTAGCCTCACCGGTCCGCGCCGCTACAGTGAGCTTGAGTTTTCGCCCCAAATTCTGGGCGAAAAGCTAATCAGAAAGGTTAATGAAGACCTTTATTGTAAGCACAGTACCTGTTTTTATCGGCGGCAACATTGGACCACTCAGAAAAAATGGAGCCCAGCTTTGTACTCCATGCATGTACCCCCTTATCATACAAAAAAACCATTTTCAAAGCGCTCATGTCCTAAAAAGGCTTATCTGGTTAGTCCCCTTCTGGCAAAGGAGAATTTCGTGCGGCCCGAAACGCATTGCCATCACGCCCCCGTATCTTGCGATGACGCTATAAAAGCATCTCTGTTCTCTTCCTTTATTGAAAATTTGGCAGTAATATTGGGTAGAGCATGCTCTTTTGCGTCTGGACTCCAAATCATTACTTGAAACGTTTCATGATGTACACTTTTAAACACGTCAACGAAACGTGGGCAAGCATTTGCGAAATGCCCCCGTACATTGCGATAGCGCCCACACAGGCTCCTCATAGTAAGAAATAATCACCATTGATAAACGTTATCAAGAATATAATGGAAATGATAAGAAAATTCATCTTAAACGTCAGTCTCAAGAGCAATAGCACATCAACCATCGAAGTGCGATTCCATTGAGATTGATGAATGACTAGATTATTGTACAATAGTAATAAACTCCTTTGTCCTTGTAGTTGTTCCAATGGTGCGATTTTGTGCTTGTGACACACGTACAGTACCACTTTTTCCGATGCTGCAGCAAAATAAGTGCTTCTTGAAGACGAGACGATATTCTCTGCTGAAATTTCGTAAGATTTCTATAAATCAGAGTACAATTGCTATAAACTCGCACCAAGGAACTTCAGTCTCACAAACACCATAGTCACCACTGCAGAAATTTCAGACAGTAGACCGTGAGAGTCAAGAGATGTTGTGCTGACAATGTGAGCTTCTAAAATTCCCTCTATGGTTGAGGTAGTTCACTTCAGAGTAGCGAAACGTAGGGCAAATTGCTAACTACAGCTGAGATGAGCTACGACGAACTCGCATAGGGGCCAAGGAAGTTTAGCGGAAGCCTTGCACATAATTCTCACGCTTCTCTAAACCAAACCTTAAAAAATGAAGGTATCCATGTATTCGTTTGCAAATCTCAGACATTTCGGCATTTTTGGCCGTCCCCTAGCTTTTAGAGTCTTCCTTTTCAGCAAGGGCGGACTGCTGTACTTAATAGCGTGAGTTCTCGAATTCGCAGGACAAAAGGTACGCAAGACACCTGTTTTTGTCCACCAATGATCATTGTACAATAAGGACTACAGCGCCTTCCACTGGATCTGACTGTTTGATGTAAGCCGATCATGTAAAGCTCGCAATTCTCAACATTTTCATGGCGAGGTTCTGAACTATTGCAGGGCTAACTCTCGGCTCAGCAATTTCAACCAGGAGAACTCAAACCGTGTTTTTTTTCTTAAATAACTGCTCATTTATTCTCCTGCTTTGAAGGAGAGCATAGAACAATAACTCACTTCAAATGAATAGATATAGGTTACATCTACTAAGAAAGATTTGCCCGGAAATAAATCTTCACCTTACCCAGAAAAAGGTAATTTTTAAAATGATTTCTTGGAACTGGGAAGGTGGATATGAGGAAGGCAATCTCATGTTGTGTATAAACTTTCGTATATATTGTTGAGGTTTACTTGACACACACTTCGTAATCTCTTAGTATCGGATATTTACGTAGTCACGATTGCATTCCTTGAAGAAGAGGGGGGCGCAACTTTTTTCTTCTCACTAGAATGAAAGCGAAAGTGCTGCTAGTATTGGATCGTTTGCGCATCAACAAAGATGTCCAGCAAGAGACCATCGTTCAGCTTATACATAAGGGAGGCCCAACTGGTTTCGACGTTCACAGCTAGCCTAGACTAAGCGTAAGAGGTATGAATTGCTTCTAGTAACGTGTAAACTTCATATCTTCTTGATTTTGAAATGATTTTGTGAAGTTTATAAAATGCTTTCAGTATACTTACAATCATCGAAAGAATAGACAAATGCGGGCATTTTTGTGCAGAGATCTCTTCAATGTCTTCGAAATAAAGCTTGCTGTTAGTATGCAAAGTTGTATTTACGCCTAGTCCACAACCACCAGATTCTTGGAAAGCTCAGAGGTGGGTGCATTAGAACACAAAACTGTTCATATCTATTTTGAGAACGGACCCTTTTCTATTCAAACCTTGACTGGTTCCGTATTACATAATGTATTTGTGGTATTCTGACCTGACACCGTAGTAGATGAAAAAGTTGGTAGCGCAAGCCGTGTTGACAAATATTCCCGCTAGCATATCCACGTCCACTCTAGCAATATCGAGCTTGAGAATTTGAGCGATAGTACCAATGAGCGTGGTACTGAACCAGCCAAAAACCACCGTGAGGCTAATCACGATCAATGATCTGTATATGTTCTTCATTTTGTCATTACCTGAAATTGTTAAAGTTTCTAATAAAATCAGGCTTCCTTGATCTCAGATACTCATATTATGATGCCATGCGCGCGGGCTATTGCTTCTAAGCTTGTTCATAGTGCTTCTCCAAATCGTATCATAGAATAATTATGAGAGATGTGTTTACCATAGAAAGGGTGGGGATGGTTCCTTGCAAGGCATGGCATACGTCTTTACTGTAACAGTCAAGTGCCGATTTCTTCCGACGTAGCTTTGGTTGAAGGTCTGATAAAGATGCGGTGAAAAGAGAGGCAAGGGTTATAACAGGAAGAAGTAGCAGTTTGTGGTATACTGGCGGCTATCGTAGCAACTTGTCTAATGTCAACTTGAATAATTTAGAGAGCTCTGAAACTTCGAAAAAGCAGTGAAGGCTGTCGCTTTCTGAAGCGAAAGGACTATAATGTAAAAAAAGAGCCAAACTTGTTGCTAGGGATTGGCTAGTTGTCACAGAACAGCTCTTTTGTTTTCCAACAGAAAATGTATTAGTTAATAAGGTGCTGACTACTTGAAACCAGAGCTTACAATCACACTAAATCTCTGAAGTTACGCCTCTCTCCACACTAAGGAATTCCTTATTTTTGATACTAAATTTAGGTTTTTAACAATAAAGCACACTCACTGAGCTTCGCCCTTCTTATACAGCACAGGAAGGCCACGTAACAAACAATAATCAATATGTTGATGACCATAATACATCTTGTGATCACGGAATATATGCTGCCAGTCATAGGCGCGGTAATGAAACAAATCACACTCCTTGAATGTCATCTGTTCACTTTCATGAATTCAGAGCGCTTGTGTGAGCCATGTATTCATATGAAAAAAATTGTGAACGAGCAGCACCTTACCTGGTCAGCATTGAAAACTATCTCCAAAAAGATCTAAGATCGAGAGTTAAGCGGAAGGTGACCAAAATATATAGGCAGAATTGTTATACTTCAAAATCAAGTTTTTCTACTACATTAATTTCTACTACATCAAACATAAATGGAAATTTGAAAGCTTGTCGTAAACAGCAAATTTCATGAGATTGTCTCGCATATTATTAGCTTTGACAGAAAAATTTGTATCGTAGTGCCGGAATCGGTGGAGCGTCTGGAGCATCACATTTAAAACGGCCAGGTCACTGAACCTTCTCAAGTCAAAGCATTGGTGGTGGTAATACATTTCACAGTCTAATTTGACCATGTTGATCGTTTTAGGAATAGTGCGCATATCCATACTTGGAGTATTTTCTGATCTTCGGTGTTTGGAATGTTCGCTGCTTCAGTGAACTTTGCCGTACTGATGTCGTATTGTGACGTCACGATGCCGTCGTAAAATCGCTCACATCTGTCGCGGAGAGTTCACGATGACTCATGATCGTCCGCCGTCCGCGCCAATGTTATAAGAGGTGGGCACACAACAGCTGAGGCCATTTCGTCTCATAATCTCATATTGGCTAGTTCGGAAAGTTTCCGCCGATTCTGACGCTCAAATTCAACAGGCATATCTCGGTTCGAGAGGAACATTTTTATCAAAATAAATACTTTTACAATTCTTCTTTTTGTCAAAAGAAAGTGGGATTTTATCTAGATATTGGAGTTTAGATGTGCTGGAGTGCTGGTAGCGAAGAACTGGGCTGGAAGTTAGCTTACGAGTCAGTGTTGGGTTTTGAAGTTCTGATCCTTATGAATATAGTTTGGCTGTATAAAGAAGGTAGGCAAAAAGATCTTCCTGTGCAAAATATCTCGCAGCACAGTTTCGTAACTCAGTGCGCTAGTTACTGCTGGTCCACGACTAGAATTGCGCCCGCGGGGTATGGAAAATAGATGCGCGGCACCCACTTTTCTAGACTTTGCTCGTTTCTAGGAACACCAGTGCACTATTAGTGAGCCCCTCTTTATTGCTTCCTATATTTCTATTGAAGGACGATCTTCAACAGTACTATGAGATTGTTGAATTGATAATGAATATTTTGTGAATGCGAGATTATTCAAATGTTTCTAAGTGATGTCTCGAATTGCTTCAGCATTTTTCAATCAACCTTTCGAGAATAAATAACATCCATACTTGCGATTATATATAAACGTTAATGTGCATTATGGTGAATCGGTCTCGGCGATATTCTCGGCAGGGGGTCGTACATGGTCAGGTGGTGGGTTCATGGGGTCCTGACATGTGACAGGCTCGTATCATGGTAATAATTATGAGTTAGTGAGGGTGTTAGCGGCAAGCACAAAGCGTATTATAATAACTATATTAAATATATTCTTTTGGGGGGCATTAGTTCAGTCCGCCTTATTGTCTTATCCTGTTTGTGAAGAATGGATCGAATCTTCCGAAAGGCCAGTAAGGAGACTGATAAGGTGCATTCTCTACAGAACGGGGTCACATGTGCCAGATTGTTGGAAAGGCACCGTCCTTCATCACGCCCTGCTCTTCCTCCCCTCAGTACCTTACTGTTGAGTCTATGGCCTTCTTTTTAGGGACGCTGTAATAACGACAACGTGACCTGAAAGGCGCTTGGCTAAGTGAGCTGTTCCTTAAGCTGTAGGTGAGAATGTGTTTACTACAATGCAGCTTGAACATGATCATACATATAACACCTTTCAATCGATTTTGCAACATTGAGTGAAGGTCGGATGCATGGCCTATACCAGGCTAAATCGGATGGTAACGATTGCCCTTTTTATTATAGCATATGTTAGAAGAATGATTTCCAGACATGCATCAAGTGTTGCCAACGAATTACACTTGCAATTGTGAAGAGGAGAGCGGCTTTTTGAGTGGCCGAGAATCATCCTCGATAAACCCTCGACGCAAATATCTCTTCATCAATGGATTTAGAAAGAAGCTAAGCATAACCTTAGAAAGAGCAAGCCTTCCGCTTTCCAAAACTGTTTTCGCTTTTCCAATCTTGCGAAAATAAGGAGACATTGCCGCTTGAGTTGCAAAAACTCGCATGAAAATTTCGACATCTTCGACACGTCTTCGACGGATTTTGAGAGACTATATCTCTTCGAATGGAAGGCTTTCATAGCAATTCCAAATACTGCCTGATAGTAGCAATCTAGCTCTATCTAACCCTACCACGTGCTGTTCAAAAGGTTGGAAATGGAGGAATGGAACTTTTCATCGAGGGTGTAGATTTCGACGGTTTTTTGGATTTCAGCAAATCTGACCCAGGGACAAATCGCGCCGCAGCTGCCGTTGAATCGGCCGTTGATCGATACACTCGGCTGTTGTGATTTTGCGTATGCTCTGTTTTGGGAGGGGGTCGCGCCAAGTCTTCGGGGGGTAATACTTCTTCGACCACGTCCTCGACACGGTTCCCACCCTGGCTAAGATCAAGGCTTCAAAAAAGGAGAAATATGTTCAAGGTTAAAAGTAACGGTGGATTCAGACAGAGCGAGGAACGCACTCTCCATTCATATATAGGGAAGTGGCAATTTTTCACAAGTGATTTAAAATGAAGCGTCTAGATGGGAGTTACTAGAACGACTAAAACGTTCTGAAGAACCCAATACCAGAACCCAATACGACCATAGGCCCAGCTACGAGTTGTGTGGAAGGTAAACAAAGGTATGCGGTCATCTTTGTCTCCTCTACAGATCGATGGATCCACACTTAATACGTTGACGACATTGCGCCTTTGCACAGCGTGGGACAAGAGCGATTTTGCGAGCACAGTCGCCGCACACTTTACTTAATTTCCCTTTAGTGGCCCCATAATTCGGACGTGGTTGTTTCAGTAAAAACACATATCTTCCCATACGAATAGGTTTGTATTCACTTCTGTTATTCCTTTTTATCAACATGTCTACGTTATTGAAAAGAAAACGAGGAATGAATTGAACAGACATATCCGTAAGGTCTGGAAAACGTCTGCCAAACTAAAGAATATTTGGCCTTTCTGTGAGTTTTTAAGTATGCTAATGTATGACCTATAGAATGAGTACAAAGACCTTAGGAATAAGTCGCACAAGCGCAAGAAAAAGGGATGACTTGGGTGGGACGCGTTACCGCGTCACAATGTCCCACGAGGTGCGCAAAGTGGGACGCGTTACCGCGTCACGCTGTCGTCAACGTGTTAATGTAAATGAGGGTATGTAAGAGGGAAAGAGAATGCTGAAAGAAGAAATGGAGGCTGTGATGCTGAAGTCTTCCATTAGGTCCATGAAGGGCAACGACCTCTTTCGAGAATAATGAGTTCTCGGTGTCTAGAAGATGTGCTTTGCGTCTAGAAGATCCTTTCGATGTGCTCATGTAATTGCTTGTAATAAATGGCAACTGCAGCCGTTGTTCCCACTACATAGCTACCTGGCTACCAAATTCTTATTGAGACGATGTCTCAACAGAAGTTTGGTGGTTTATGTTATCTCCCAAGCATCTATATATGGAGGTTGCTCCACATTCATACGTGGAGGCGCTGAATTGTTGTCCGTTTATAAAGGCCTATCTTAGTGCAGCAATGCATAGACATTGCACGGAGTTACCAATTTTGTGGCGCGAATAGGTAGCCACAAGGTCAGTTGGCGGGAATCGGTAGGATCCGGGTAGGCCTGGACCATTCAGTATATGGTGAAAATTTTGTACAATGGATACTCAATGTATTACTACTTGAGATTCATAGACGACAATGCAGGACTGACAGCCTCAAGCTTAGACAGGTATTACGGAAAAAACTTGTCTCAAAACAAGAACAAAAATAAATAATTTCCTAACATCTTCTGGTGATTACTTACCCTTTCTCATTACGTTCGACAAATATCCATATAGCAAAACAAAGGGTGTATATAAGAACAGGAACCACCAGTACAGCGTTATAAAACCTTACATAGCCTTGAGAGAGCAATATGCTGAAATATTTGTGAGGAAGTCTTGCACTGAGGAAGAAAGCTTCGAATCAAAGAAGTAGAGGTTCCTCTCAAT